TGGCTTGTCCCGAGATATTATTTTTAGAAATCCTGGCGGAAAAGCTGCCTGCGTCGGGAACCTCCTCTCGTTCCACGGGAAACGCGCTTCCCGGTGGAAACAAGCAGCGGTGGGGCTGGGCTCCGTGGGGAGTGGGCACGGGAGGAAGGGGGGATCGGGGGGCTCAGCCACATCCCGGTGCTGCAGCCCATTTTCTGCTCTGTCCCCAGAGCGGCGACTCGGAGACCGTGGGTTTTACATCTCCCCAACTTGCATTCCTGCTGGAGGCGGTTTATTCCTAAACCATGGAGCTGCTCCTTCCGAGGCACAAATTCCTGCTCCTTTCCTGCCACTGGCTCTGGGACCCCATCACAGCCAGTGGCATTGGTCATGCTCCTGCGGCATGTCCACTCACTGCCCCTTTTCCCTGGGGACCTGCCCCATCCCTCCCTGCCACCCCCAAGGCTGCTGCCCACTCCGGTGATCCTGCTGGCCGTGAAGCCACGGGGATTAGCAGCTTCCTCTGGGTGGGGATTTAGCCAAAGCTGCTCAGAGCCACACGGGGCAGGCAGCTTGGTCGGAGAGAGGGAGATGGGGAAAGCCAGGACATGCGGCCTGAGCCCTCCTAAGGATGCTGAGAAGGGGCTTTCCCAGGGTTAATAGCTCAGCATGTCGTGGTGGAATGCTGGGTTTGGCCAAACCATGTGTCCTGCAGTGTTTTCCCTTGCCCGGGTGAGCCCTTAGCCTCTTGTGTTATTTCCAAAGCTTTGTGGAGACCTTTAAGCCAAAAGTCCATCCTGTGCAGGCGGGCTGGCGAGGACAGAGGGACGGGAAGGGGCAGACGCCGCTCACATGGCGCTGCCAGCCGAGATGTAGGACAAGAGCTGGCAGATGGAGGCGGGCACACAGAGCAGTGTGAGGCTGCACCGAGACGCTCTTTGCTGTGATGGGATCTTGGCTCGCTGCTGCTTCAGCAGCTGCTGAGCTTCCCAGGGCTGGGGCTGCGGGACTCCGGAGGGACAGAGGACATGGGGATGGGGAGCTCGGGTGACTCCCCAGGGAAAGGAGCAGCTGGGAAAGAGCAGGCAAAAGCTTCCTGCTGAAGTTGTGGAGATGAGGGGTCTGGCTGGAGCTGTGGCTGGGGGATGGAGCCAGGGGAAGGGGGCTCACAGCTCCATCTGGGACATGTTCCGGTCCTGCCGATGGCACGGGGACCACCGTGTGCACTCCTGCTGTGTCGGACCTCCTGGACCACTGCAGAGACCACAAGGAAAACTCCACAGGAAACCTGTTTAAAACTGCAGCAGGTGAAGCTGAGAGCAGTGGAAAGCCCCCACCCACCCTGCCACAGCACATGGGCAAAGCAGGAGCTCCACCTGAGGGACCCTGGGCCAACTCTGGGCTCTTCAAAGTCCCCTCTGGTGGCCTTATCCTCTGCTGATAGGATCCTCTGGTACCTTATGGGGAGGCTCAGGAGAAAATCTGGCTGCAAGGAAGGGATAGGAAGGATATCCTGTTTCCCTAGGGAAGGGGTCATCAGGTAAAATAGCCAAGGGAATCCTGTCTTGCAGCAGCCAGACCAGAGCAAAGGGCTGCCCTGGGGATTGAGGGGAGCCTGATTGCCCACTGGGAGGTTTGGGGTTAGTCCTGCTGGCACTGAGCCTGTGCGGGACCTACTGAGACTCCCACAGAGCCTGTGGTTATTTGCAGGGTCACCATTATCGCAGTCCTTATGCTCCCAAGCCCTCTGTGGTGGCTCCAGCCTGGCTCCTGCTCCTCACCCAGACTATTATGGGACAGCACAGGATGGTCAAAGCCCTCATCTGCCAGACCCCAGGCAAGGAATCCTGGTCCCCACTGAGCAGCCCCCAGGTGCCCTGTCAGCTGCTGGAGGACAAGGTAGGACCCTCAAGCTCCAGCTCCCCTGAACCCACCTCTTCCACCCACTGCCTCCTTCTTTCCTAGGGGAAGGGGCTGTGGTTTGTCCAGAGGGTAGAGAGGTGGGAAGCTCTGTCCCTGGCAGAGAATCCCTGCCAGGCAGGGCAGCTCTGTGCACACCTGAGCCAGGTGAGGCTTTCAGAGAGGAGGCAGAAAATGAAACTGGGGAATGAAGCAGAGAAACAAGGATCAAGCTTTAGACACCTCTCCCCTGTTTTACACCTGGATCAAAAGCAGGAACATCAAAAGCTGGAGGGATGCTGAGAGGAACTGCTGGCAGGGACCTGCTGCACAGCTCTTACTCTCGAATGGGACATATCCAAAAAAGTCGCCATCACTCCCAGATGTAGGATTACACAATTCTAAGGCTCGGGGACAGGGTCCTGCCATGCCACCACGGCTGGGGACACTGCTCCGGGTCTGGTGCCATCGTGTGGACACACGACACTTGCACGAATCCCTCGTCCCCTTCCCTGGTGGAGAGACCAAGCTTGGCAGCACAGCTCCTCCAGGCTGTACCGAACACCAAAGGGTCTTTTGTCCCACTCCCACCACCCCAAGTCTCCCAAAATCTTGTCCACTGTCCGTATCTCCCACTCAGCCATCAGTGCTGTGCCTTCCTTCTCCAACCCATCAGCCCCATTGCTGTACCCCACCTGCTCGGGCCACCCCCAAACTGTGGCTACGTTGAAGGGTCAAGTACCTGCTGATCCGGGGAGGAATCCCCCAAGCCCCCTGGGCAAGGGAAAGGGGGAAAATAAATGACCACAAGTAGCCAGACATGGAAAAATATTATGGGACCAGGGGGAACCTGCTCTACTCCCCAAGTCTTAAAAGAGGTTCTCTGCCACGTGTAAACTCTCTCCAGATTTTACATCCTTTCTTCCCCTATTAACACTCCTTCTTGCCCATTTTCCAGGAAATCCCGCACACCTCTCCATGGACAAACCCAGATGTGCTCCAGGCCCCGCTTTTCTCTGGGGTACCCCATCCCCGCGCCAACCGTGGGGGTCCCGGGGGGCTGCAGTGAGCGGCCCCAGCGCGGCCCCAGCGCTGCAGCTCAGCACGGACCGGGGCCGCCCTGCCCGGGGCCGCATCCCGGCGGAGCTCCCGGGGCCGCCCTGCCCGGGGCCGCATCCCGGCGGAGCTCCCGGGGCCGCCCTGCCCGGAGCCGCATCCCGGCGGAGCTCCCGGGGCCGCCCTGCCCGGAGCCGCATCCCGGCGGAGCTCCCGGGGCCGCCCTGCCCGGGGCCGCATCCCGGCGGAGCTCCCGGGCGTTCCCAGCAGAGGGAGCCCAGAGGATGCGAATGGAGGGCGCGGTTTGCGAATGCCCCCGAACCTCCTTCCAGCCCCACACACCCGGCAGAATGCCGCGCGTTGTTCCCATCGCTGTTCCGGGGGGCTGCACCCCCTGCCAGAGCTCTCCTCCAGCTCTGGCGCCCGAGCGGGGAATTTGCGGCCGGACACGTCGGAAAACAGCAAAGCAGCAAAGAGATGTTCCCAGACCTCGGGGCAGCCCCGAATAGTCGCTCTGACAAGTGGATTTCCCGCAATTCAAGCCACCGCCCGACACCGCGTCCAAACTCAGAACACAGTGAAGCATCTCTGTTCCGATCACTTTATGGTGGATGTAGTTAGCCTAAATTAATGCAGACGCAAAGCACCAGAAAGGGAGGGTTTGAAATGATGCTCCTGGTGCTTTTGGAGCGTCGGTTCGTGGCATTGCACCAGAAGATTTCCCATTCACACCCCGTCGTTCTACAGGTTTGGGTACTGTTGGACACATTGTTGGTGGGAAAAGGCAGCAGGATGGAAATAACCTGCCAGATGGGGATGGGAGATGGGTGGAGGGGGAATAAGAGAAGAAATATCGCAGGCAATGCTTCATGATGTCAGAGAAAAGTCCCTCCCATTTGCCCAGCATTTGCTCGTTTATTTAAAGCCCATCATTAGTGGCAACCATGTGGAAGGGGATTTAAACCAGTCCTGAGTGAATTAGGTGCCACATTTTGACCATGTGTCTAATCTAGCAAAGCCCTCTCCAAATGCTGCTTTCCACAGAAAACTGCTGCTTGCTTCATCAGCCAGGAGGTCTGGGGGCTCCAGCCCTTCCCCTGCATGAGGGAAATTTTGGGCACATGAGAGGCTGGGGCTGAAAGCAGGAGGCTGCCACAGTGTCAACAAGAAGTGGAAAGGCTGTGGGCCAGAGAAAATCATGAAATAAATGGGATCTGGGCCAAAGCTGGGCAGACAGTGCCAGGCTGCTACTCAGAACTGCTGCCAGAGCAGTCTGGCACAGACAAGGAGAGGAAACCCCAGCCAGACCTAGAATTTAATCCTGACTTCCTGGTGAAATGGCTGAAAATGTTCAGCTCTTGGGGACGTTGGGGCACAGAAGCAACCAGAGGCCAAGACACTTGTGGGAGGCTGTCAAGCCTGGCTGGGAAACCCCAACATGGCCATCAGGAGGAAAACACTTCTATGGGTTGAGTTTGTGCCCAAGACTCTTCACAGCAGTCCCAGGGATGCTGGAAGCAGGGTGTGCATGTCCCAAGCCTTGTGGTGAGACAGCTGAGTTGAGGAAAGTTGCCTGTCCATCTGGGAAACACCTCAAGGAGGGAAGAGAGGAGAAAACAGGAATTTCCTTAGAACTACTGTGGCAGGCAGGAACACAAAGAGAAATTGAGGCACAAGAGAGTGGACTGGTGGGATGGGGTGGGACAGGGCAATTGAAATGTGGGGATGCAGAGCTGTCCCCAACCCTCTCCAACCCTCTCCTCTAGAGCTGCTGGTGAGGGTGGCATTAGGTGGCTGGCAAGTGCAGGGTTAACCCAGCCCATCCCTTCTCAGGTGCTGCCCAGGTGTGGTGGTGCCAGGACTATAAAAGGGCTGGGGGAAGCCTGCAGAAGGGCTACTGGGGCAGAGGGGACAGGCTGCTGGCTCCAGGCTTCAAAGGTGGAGGCAGCAGAGCTGTGCTGCCATGCCAGAACCTGTTCCTTGCCTTGAAAGCTGTTGCTCTGGACAGCACTGGAACTTTTCTTCTGGTATGACTGTGCCAGCCTGATGGCTTTCACCCACTCATCACCATCCTGCTGGAGAGAGGAACTGGACTGGCTGGACCTGTTGTGCTTGTGAGATGTGGGTTTGGGATTATCCTTAGTGGGTGCAGGTGGGATGTTTAATTATTCCTTCCAGTTTCCTTCAGAGTGTGAAAATCGGGCTGAGTATCTCCCTTTAGTCCCCCCACTTGGAGAAAAATGTCATCCCCTGGTCTCAGTTAAGGACAGGATGACTCTGGCATCTTGCTGTGGTCCCCTGGGGTGGGTGTCATTTGGACCTGCCACCCTGCATCTGTCTGCTTAATCTGTCAGTGCCTGTGTCCCCATCTCTGCTTCACTCCACCACTGTGCATGTCACCCCACAACCAGGCTAATGTGACTTCACCCTCTGGCTTCTTGTTCAGCCCATCCTGTGCCCCCCTGAGTGACCTCTGCTCGCTGCTGGAGGGGGTGAGAGGATGCTGACAGCCCTGAGAGGTGCAGGTAAACCCTCTGGAAAACCCACGCCATGGCACTTCTCACATTTCTGCTTCTTGCCCATCCTGGTGTCATAGATCTGACCCATCCCAGACCAAAATCAGACTCCTGGATGCTTCAGTCTCCCTGGCCCCTGCAATGGTCCCTTCTCCCTGAACCAAAGGGATGGGCAGGCAGGTTTCCCAGAGAGCTGGGAGCTCACTGGGGAGCTCTACTCATACCCAACTCAATTTGCTGGCACCAAAACACTGCAGGTTGCTGAAGGGGCTGGATCCACTGGAGCCCTGTTCTCTGGCACAGCAGCACTGCTGGCACCTGTCTCACAAATTTAGGTGCCATTTGCTGCCTGTGCTTGGAGATGAACCTTGCCACCAATTTGCTAGATTTCTTCTCTCTGTGTGCAGAGTATTTCAGGTTGTTTATTCACATTTGTGGTATGTTTTCCTCCTCCTGGTGCTCAGGAAACTTTCACTCATGCTGAAGTTTCCAGATTACCTCTGAGAGGTCATGACGTTCTTTGAGCTGTTATTCTCTCTATAAGCAGCATAAACTTTCTGATGGAAAAAATTAACATCTGCACGTGTCTCGCTTTTTTTTTTTAGTTGAATTTCTTTTGGATGCAAAACAAGAGTGGGAAATTACAGCCCTGAAGTTTATTGGTACCTGGAAATTAAGGCTCAGAGTTAAATCCTGTCACAGGACACGGAGCAGAGTGTGGTATTCTTGCATAGGGAAGGTGCACCCCAGCCCTTTTTTTCTTCCAGTGGAGCAGCAAAATGTTCAACAACCAGTGTGAGATGCTCCCACCCTCCCCAGCTGCCAGCTGTTGCACTGCAAAGAACAAAGCAACAAGGAAAATTGTGTTGTCATGAATGTGATGATTAAATTGGCATCTGGAGGTGTCAGCATGAAGCACAAGGCTCTCACATCCTCATCCCTGCCACCCCCACGGTCCTGTCCCATGCCAGACCTGGAAGATGCTCCTTTGCAGAATTCATGTGAAAGTGCTGCAAGTCCTGTGATGAGTTTCCCTCTCTATCCTGCATCTCTAGTTGCTGCCATGCTTGTGTTTCATTGGGATGTTGTTGTGGCTGATTGGGGTTTCTTTATGACTGGAGGTTTTGATCTTGACTTGCAGTGAGTCACTCCATGGCAATTGGGATCCCATCCCAGAGATGTCATTTCCTCACCCAGTGTGCTTTGCAAATGAGGTTTTGCACAGCCTCAGCAGCTGTTTTTCCTTCCAGCTGAAAGCCTCTTCCCAGGAACATTTAAAGACATGAACTGGGTGCTGAGAGCTGTGCATAGGCAGGGAATTTATATCTACCATGGCCCAATGGGAGATGTAACAAGTCCTGGCAATCAATCCTAGGAGGGCTGGGAGCCACCATAAATCAACCTGTGAGTGCCAAGTGGCTCTGAAGCAAGGGGAGGGGAGGGAGAGAGGCCATCCCTGTGCTGTGCCATGTAGTTAAATAGCTTTGATAACTCAAAAAGGAGGAGACTTGGAAAGTAACAAACAAAGCCATGAAGTGACTTCCTGGTGCCTGGTAAAATGCCCTAGACCCAGGTTCCATTTAAATGTGTTTTGGAGATGGATTTGCTGTAGATGAGGTTGTCCCAAGCTCATTATGTGTTGGCCAGGATGTTTTCAGCTGGCAAAATGCTCCTTTGGGTGTGCCCTGGCTTGGCTCTGCTGCTGAGGAAGGGCAGGGCAGCCTTGGCCAGGTGCGAGTCCCTCCTGCCTGCCCAGTGTGCCACAGCTTTGTCACGGAGCAGGTCTCAGCCAGGATGAGGGATTTCCATCACAGCTTGCTTGCTGCTTCTGGGGCTGGCAGAGCACTCTGCTGCAGCCCTGGGACCTGCCAGGGGCTCCCTCTCATCCTCCCCAAGCCTGGCTTTTTCAGGCTAAGGGAAATGTGGTAGCTCTGCCTGTAGTGCAGGACCAAGGCCCAGAGGACACGCCCTTCTTCTTGCAGCTGCATCTGTCACCTCCAGGTACAAAATGCCACCTCCACCACTGGTTGCAAACCCAGAGCTGGCTCTGCCACCTCTGATGACCCTGCATGGTGCCATGGAGCAGCATCAAACTGGAACCAAACGAAGTGGGAAGGAGGAGACAGGAAAACAAAGTGCTATTAGCAAAGCCCTGGCCAACAGACACATCCACAGCTTGGGGTGGAATAATCGGACCCTTTTTTTGATCTTGGGCGATTCATTCTGACCTCAGTAAAAAAAGATGGTCCCCAGCCTGGTGCTGAATGGAGGGCACAGAGTTGGAACTGTGCAGATCTTGTCAGGATGCCT